CTATTTTTTTAATCATTACTTGCATGTTTATATTAAACCAAACTAATTTTTAAAGTAGATTTAGAGAAAACATTAATAGCTAGTCTAATTTAAAATATTTTCTTCTATAAACTAACATATTATGTCTTATTTATCTATAGTTCTGAAATGTCTACACCTCAATCACCAATTCGTGAAGAAAGTACAGAAAATGAAACATTACGTACACCAAATCTTACTATTCGGTAGGAAATTGAATCTGTCTTTCTCTCTATCAGAAATAAAATCTTTATCTATCATTCTTCTAGAAAGAAAAATCCATTTGAGTCTATATACTATAGGTATTTTTACAAATAATATATATTAACTATCCATTGGGATTGGAACTATTATTTTATTTATCCGCTTTAATATTTAAAAAAAAGACAAAAAAAATATTTTATTAAATTAAAATAATTTCTTATTTCTAATTTTTAGTACAACATCACATGAAGGTGATGATCGTCAATCGAATACATCATCTACAACAAATAATAATCCAAATGAAATAACATCAACATCAGCTGTTGATTTAGAATTAAATGTTCAAATTTTAATCGCTAATGGTTCATGTAATCTTTATACACGTCGTGATCTTATATCACAATCTCCTTTAAAACCAAATGTAAATAAACAACAACAACAACAAACTCAAGCAACAGTCGGTTCAATTCAAATAATAAATAAAATTGAATATCAAGTATTACAATTTTCTTTACCGAGTGTTGATGTTGATGCACATTATACTTCTAAGCATAATAATACAACAAATAGTTCATTAAATAAACGAGGAAATTTTTATTGTTGTGCTCGAGTACAATCACCTATAACACAAATTATTATTCATCCAATTTTATTGGATTTTATTGAACAAACACTTGAATATGTTAAATTACCACATGAACAACATGGACACACAAACATACGAGACGAAAATATACAAAATTCAAATAAAGATGATGATGATCATTTAAATAATATGTAAGACATCTTCAATTTTTTTCTGAATTACTAAGCTTTGAAACAGATCCAATTACTGATTTTGATAGCTTACGAGATTCTCTACCGAATTCATCCAGCATCAGAATTTTACCTATGAAACTGATAAAAAAGTTTCTAAAATCTTCGTTCGACTACTTTTACAATAATACTGTCGTGAAGAACGTATAATTCTGATGCTGAAGCAATTTGGTAGAGAATCTCGTGAGCTATCGAAATCAGTAATTACGGGTCAGCTCTTTTTGATCATCGCATTTCCAGACATTCGGTTAAAAAACCGGATGTTCGAAACGAAAAATGTACTGATGTTCGGAATGAAAAAATATTGGATGTCCGAAACATAAAATGTATTTTATTGCAAAAATCGCCCCTTCACTCTTACATACATCCGTCTTTTTCATTCCGAACATCCGTTATTTTATGTTCCGACCATCATGTACTTTTCGTTGCGGACACCTGTACGATTTTCATTCGGAACGAATCTCTATGTTCGATGTCCAAAAAAAAGCGAGGACGAAAAGTGGCTACCCCGTAATCACATCCGTTTCAAGACTTAGTAACCCAGAAAGAAACTAACGATATTTGTGAAAGAATAATTTTTCGAGCCACTTTGTACTAATGATATTTCTTTAGGTTTTTAATGGAAGATCAAACATCAACAGCATCATTTCCTATTGATGTTGTTGTTAGTTTATATATTCAACCATGTGTTCTTTTATTTACATGTTTACCAACACATCCAATGGAATGTGAACTTCGTTTACCTGCTGTTGATATTGTATTTTCATCTAAACGTGCTGTTCCCGATAGTACAACATCAAATGAAAATCCATCTGAACAAATTTTAGAAAATTCTCTTGCTGGTTTGAGTTTTTCATTATATATGAAAGATTTCAAATTTAATGTTTATCATCCATTTTCTGGTGAATCAAAAGTACATTATTATGAAGATATGCGTTCGGGACAATTGCAAACACGTAATGCATTAGCAGTTAGTGTACAATCAGTTTCACTTAATATTTCTCGTACACGTTATATAATAATTGATCAAGATAATGAACTTTTAAATAATATTCAATTATCTGTTATTATACAAATATCAAAAGCACAATTTGAATATGATATAAGACGTTTCACAGAAATTTTAACATTTCCAAAAATTTGGTATAATCGTTCATTAGCTCGTCGTCTATTCTTAGGCGATGAAAACTTACCAACAAGAATTCCACCAACAACTCGAACAACACAACCAACTGCACCACCAACACAAATACCATCGAGAACAAATGAAGTTTTACGTAAAAAAGCACATGTAATTTTAGCTATCCAGTTAAAAGAATTACATATATCAATGCGTATGTCGAATGTCATGGGAAAAATTGAATGGAATACAAAAGATGTTTCTTCAACTGGAAGTTTAACATTAACAAGTGAAGGAAAACGAACATTTTTTCTTTCATTAGGTTTACAAAGTTCATTATTACAAGCTGAACAAGGAATTGTCGGAGGAATTATAAGACTTAAAAATCTTCGAACAACAGGTAATTTAATCACCAAAAATATAAATTAATGTATTTTGTTTTTCTTCTCTTCAGGTCTTATTCTTCACGAACTTCGTGATCGATCAACTTTTGTTGATGCATCTCATGCTATCGATATTTTAACGGATGCAATTGAACTTCGTCTTGATTATATGGGTTCGCCAACATTAATGGGACGTATATCTCATATATTACTTCGATTAAAAGATGATCGTCCTTCATCAACAGCATATAATGATTCCATAACACCATTTAAATCTGTTTTACTTAATCTTGGATGGTCACAATTACATCTAATGATTACACGTTCAACAACACCAGATATGATAAAAATGGCAACGAAATTAACTGAATTTTTTAATAATCATATAAGTAGTTCAAAATCTATATTAGCATCAATACAATATGATTTTCGTGATCGTACAAATGTAAAGCCTCAAACAAAAAAATCTTCAACTATACATTCAAAATATGATACAAATATTATTAAAAAATCTATTGGAATGCATGGTGGTGAAATAATGTTACAAGGACATAATTTAACATTAGTTGTTTTTCATGGATTAAATTTTAAATCACGGCAATGGGCTTTATTTTCACTTAATGAACCACAAATTAATTTTATTACAAATCGAGGAGAAGAAGGCGATAGTATGTTATGAATTTTCATTTGTATTACAATCAATAGAATTATTTTTATTATTTTAGCTAATCAAGAATTAATCTTTTCATTGGGTGATCAAAGTCAAACAACACATGCAAATGTAAGACCTCGTACAAATATGGCTTCAATTTCGAAAGTTACAAGAAGTACTAATGAAGCGCCATCACATTTAACAATTAATGAATGGTTCAATTATGCAAGTTCAACAATTTCAGCTATTGGTAGGTTGTGAGAAGAAAAAAATTGTCTAACATCTTGAGAGTGTAGACGTGATGGGTGTCAGTGGCGGATTTAGGGTGAGGGGTGATCGTCCCTCCATACTAAAAAAAAACAAATCGTGCCCCCCCCCCCCTTCCAAAATCCTAGATCCGCTAGTGGTGGGTGTGGGTGTGGGTGTATCATATGTCTAGTACACACACCCTCCAGATAATGTAACCTATTACTTCATCCTCCATGATTTTGTTCATACTCATTTAGTTCAAATCTAAATAGAATTATATTTATATAGGTTTACGTGATTTTCCAACTTTTGATGAACCTGAGATATCAGTTATGAAAAGACAAGGTCGCCCAAGACAATTTGATCAAAATGCTGAATCAATATTTATTCTACCGGCTCTTGAATTACGTTTTCAAACACGACAACTCAATGGTAAAAATAAAAGAAATTTTAATTTAATTCTTGTATATATCATTAATATCTAGATCAAGTACATTGTAGTTTTGAAACAGAATTTTATGAACATATTATGTTTTCATTCAATGCTGAACATTTTTATTTCTTACATGATCTTATAACTTCATATATAAAAGAAAAAGAACGAAGTAAAATAAAAATTTATATCATTATTTTAAATTTATTTTCATTTTTTTCATTCAATTAAGCTTTAATAGCAGCAGCAATTGATAAAACTCCACAACGATCAAATACATCCACAACTGATCAACAAACATCTCCGCCATCTGATGATGCAGGTAGTACTGATACTCGTCGTTTTCATTGTCCAGATGCTAAATGGAAATTACAACCAACGATAAAACTTCTTACAGCATATGGAAATGAAGTTGAACCATTTGGTGCCGATTATGTTTTACAAAAATTAGGTTTTCGTCATGCACGTTTAACAATACCCAAATGGCTTCAACGTGGTATTATGGATCCATGTGAACAATCAATGACTATCGTACAATTAATTTTAATTTTTCTTCTACCTGAACGTTTTAAAGAAATGTGCATGAAATAGTGATTAGGAATTATTTTAATCAAGCTTATCAATGCATTTCTTTTTTATTATTTATCCTCTCTAGTCGTTGCTTTAAACGTTTATTTCTAGTTATTCAAGAGAGTTGAACTTTTTCTTTTTCTGTAATATAAAAGATTCTATATATCTTCGTTTTTTCTACTTGCTAAACAGTTTATTTTTTTGTATGGGAAATATTTAGGAAAAGTTTGCTCCTCATTTTTTTTGTGTGATAAGAAATGAATAAAATGTGCTTTTTTATTATTATTAAATAAAATAAAAATTATAACTACTAAATTCGATTAAAATGATTAATATCTATAAATACGGTTGTTGTCAATCTCGTTCTTCCGTTAGATGTCCCTGTAGTGCAAGTTCATTAGGTAACTAAAATATTGCGTTTATATGATCAAATACCGGAAAAGAAATAACAAAATGGCGTCGAACGACCAATAAGAGAATAAAAAACGTGATCGAAATAAACTACTATTGTTTCGATATTCTTATCTTTGTCGTATAGTGATTGTAGTTTCCATCATGCCATTTACATTAAGTGATGGACGTTCATTTACTAATCTATTCAATTCAACAGAACAAAGTAAAAATATCCTAAACGTCTCTTTGAGAGTTTATAATATATGCATATTTAGATTGTGAAAATTTACTCATTGAAAAACAAAATTTATTATGTATATTTAAATTAGTTATAAAAGATCTATTAAATTCAAGTTTACGACATGAACGTTTACTTGAAAAAGAATATTTTCCATTAAAACATTTTTTTATTGTCTTCGAACAAATTTTGTTACATGGTTATACAGGAAAAAAATCATTTCCAATAACTCCATCATCAAATCGTAAAGATCTTTGGCCACTTATTGAACTAATTGCACGTAAATCAACAGGCGCGGATGTTTTCGAAATCTCCTTATCATCAAAAGAAATGACAAATGTTCGAACATCATTAGGTCGTGTACGTGCATGGTTACGTCTTGCATTAATGCAAAAACGTTTAGCTGATTATTTTAAAATTCTTGTTGAACAAAAACATGAATTAAAAGAATTCTATGATAGTGACGCATTATTATTATCAGATGAAATATCGATGATCACTGGTTTACTTGTTGGTCTTAATGTATTAGATTTGAATTTTTGTTTAAAAGAAGCTATACTTGATCATCCGAGTGAAACAACGATTTACTATAGTTTATATTTACGTGAAAGACGTATACCATCACAATCAACATTGAAAAATACACATCCACCTGGTTCTATTGAAGATCAAATTGATGAATTAGATGATTATTCATCATTATCATCATCGCCAATAACACGAACAAGTACACAAAATTCTGATACGGTTATTATATCGAATACAAATGATATGATTACATATGATGATCAACGAATTTCTAATATACTTGATCAAAAAAATTATATTGAAGAACTTCATCGAAATTTACAGTAAATTAATAAAATGAATTCATTTCTATTTTATTTGTATTGAATATGTATATATAGGAAAACAGTTAATAGTTTACAAGAACGTTTACAAACAATGGAACAAACAAATAAATCTTTAACAGACGATGGTATAGTACAAAAAATTCGAATTGAACAATTAGAAGAAAATTTGTCGAAAACGAAAACAGAAAAAGAACAAATGCAATCATCTTATCAAGCAAAAATTGAAGTAAAAGAGTTTCCTATCAGAATCAATTGTATTCGATGTATTCCTATTACAAATTCTAAACCAATGTTCTATTAATTCAAATTGTTGAACTAAATTTCAGACTGTATACTATTGGAGACAGAAATCTTATCTTTATCAAGAACAGATGCAGAAATCTGCATTTCATTTTTTCTTCTATGATAGTATCGAAGATCTGTTCTGCTCTTTCTAATCTATAAACGATGATTTTGTTACGAGAAAACCACCCGAGGTGCCAAACAGCTTTAGAGCTCAAGTTTTGTCCATACATAGGAAGGGTATGGGATACTATTCTCAACATAAAATCAAAGTTTCGAGTTTTACCGTAAAACTTTGCCTATATCAAAGCCTCAACTAGGGTAGTTCATCCATAAAGTTTCAGACATTTTTCGACTGAGCATTCCCGAGATATGAATCTATTAGGTTCTTATGGATATTTCAAAAACATAATATCTCGAGAATATTTAGTCCTTAAATTCTAGAACTTCATGGTTGTGGCTTTGATATAGGCACAATTTTATGTCGAAAATTTTTGGCTATCATTTACTTGGTCAATAAAATAACTGAAACGGTCAGCAAAATAGATGAAATGATCAGTAAGATAAATGGTCAGTAAAAACTATGACAATGAGCAGTAAAAAGCTTAGTTGGTTAGTATTCCGATTATTACTCATTTAAAAAGGGGGTTAAAGAGATTTTGATTTTCAATATGTTTTCAATTAAGCTAGCAATTAAAAAATGAACTACAGTATCGGTGATCATAAAATGCGTTTTTTCTGAGATATGTGTTGAGAATTGAGGTGCTCGATATCTCGTTGGACTCCTTGTCTCGAAAAATTAGAAAATATTTATTTAAAAAGTGAAAAATACTGGAATTCATTAACATTGTCCTATTTTGATCGATTAACATCAGATTTTTGCTAGTCTTCTGTTTACAAGAGTGATAATCTAAATACGGACCGTTTAATCTTTTTACTGCTCATTTTCATAGTTTTTACTCACCATTTATCTTACTGATCATTTCATCTATTTTACTGACCGATTAATAATTTCCCAAAATTTTTTGATACTTCGAATGATTCCCACGCCAGTTTTTCTTTTAGTAATATTCATGATATATGTCTTGTCTGGTTTACTGCTTGTATATATATCTAACAATCAATTCTTTTCTTTTAGGCATTGAATTCTGATATGGCACTTGAACGAGAAACTTATCAAAAATCTCGTGCTGGTTTGGATGTACTTTATCATGAATTAGAAAAGAAATATGACGATGAATGTTTATCGAAAATTGTAAGTAGGAATAGAAAATTTCTGGGAAAGAAAATCTTTTCATTGAATAAATTAGGATGTTGAAACTGAATATCAATTACAATTAGCTCAGAAAAATGATTTTATTGAAGCAACTAAATTAATGGGAAAAGATATGGAAATGAAAACAACATTATATACTCATATGAAAGAACAAATTGATGGTATTAAAGATGAAAATATACGTCTTTCAGAAAAATTACAGGTGAATATTTTGTTTTTCTTGATAAATATTACTTATGTTTGTATTAGATTGAAGAAAAACGAAATGAAGAAAGAGAACATCAACTTCAATCCTTAGAAAAAGAAAATCAAATGTTAAGAGAAACAATTAGTCAATTAGAAACAAAGTAAAACTAAAGACTTGCAAATTCCTTATCTATCATTTTTCTTTTTAGTATCGAAGAAATTAATAAAGAAAAACATGCACTTAATGATACAAATGAATCAATAAGTCGAGAACTTGCTAAAATAGATGCTGAAAAGTTTGATTATATTTTTCCTAAAAACTTTATCATTCAATATTGTTTCTTCTAGAACATCAATTGAAACTGATTTACGTGTTGAAAAAGATTTTCGTCAACGTCTTCAACAAACATTAACAAGTGAAAAAGAAAAAGTTTCATCACTTCAATTCGATATTCATGAATTAAATTTAATAAAACAAGTATTGATTCTTTTTTGTTTTATTTTCATTTAAATTTATCTTTTTAGGAATATGATTCATATAAAAAACAAATGACAAAACAACAAAATGATTTACAGAAAAAATTTCAAGAACAAGAAGAAACTATAAGAGAACTAGCATTAAAATTAGAAGTATCTATTAAACGTGAAGATGAATTTCGAGAAAAAGATGGTCTTCGATCATCAACTTGGATGAAAGATGAAGATGTTAAAGAATGTTGTCAATGTAAAAAAGATTTTAGTCCACTTAGAAGAAAACATCATTGTCGAAAGTAAGATATCAATAATACTTCACAGGAGAGGGGGGAGTACACACCAACCGGCAAATAGTTTTTTGTCTTGTAACAAGGTTCTTTACCAGGATCCCCCTTCAAATATTTTTGGCTAAAGGGGGTGCACGGGTAGGGAACTACAAAATCACTTTTTTTCGGTCCCGGTCTCGACGCTAATCTCAATAAAGTTCAAGAGTAGTTGTATAATGATTGACGCACTCACTCTTGCCTTTGAAAAGAAACAATTATGGATTTTCTGCTTTTCAATATTCAATAAATGTCTAGTTTAATATATGATAAAAAAAATTGACGGGATCAGATGATAATTTTGGTCCAATCTCGGTCCCGAAATAAAAATTTAGTCTCAGTCTCGGAACTACTTTGTAGTTACCTATGCACGCGTATTTGTGCACCTCTCTCTGACTACGCCCTTGATACTTCATTTCAGTAAAATCTAATCAATATTTTCTATTTAGTTGTGGTCAAATCTTTTGTGAAACATGTGCAAGTACAAAATTACCTTTACCCAGTTCAAACAAGCCAGTTCGTGTATGCGACATGTGTCGTAATCATTTATTAGCACAATGTGCGGTCAATAGTCCATGAAAAAAAAGAACGTTGAAGAGAATATGAATATGTTTATTTTTACACTCCAATATTACTGATCTATTTATATAATATTGTAAATAGAAACTGCATTTTACTTAATTTATTCTTCTAAATGGCTGATCGATATGTACTTCTAACTATAAGAAACAGTCTGTTTATTTCATTTGTTGATGTTGTTGTTCTTTCTTTTTTTATGATAATATTAGTCAACATTTTTGTCTATTAAAACAAACAATTTATATATTGATTGTGATAATTTTTTCTTCTTCTTGATATTCAATCCAGATCATTTTCTTATGTTCGTCATACTACAGAAAATCGTATCTTTATTTTGAATTATAAATATAAATATTATATAAGAGAATGAATCTTTATGATTCTTATCAGTACATGTCAAATATTTGATTCACACTTTTCACATAACGTAGAGAAAGAAAAAAGTAATTCTTTCTCTTCTCATCGCCTTCGTTCTTCTCCGCCTACATCAAACATCATTCACATCGTATTCATTCTATAGAATAGACTACGTGCCCACGCAAACGAAACTTAACAAATAACATTGTTAATTTATATAGGCAAGTCAACTAACACCTATTCGTTTCATTTGTAGATAAATATTATAGAGTGAAGAACAAAATGCCGCCTGTACGAGATGATGCACCAGATTTTCGTGAAGCTTTTAATTTATTTGATGATCGTGGCGATGATAAAATTCCCAAACATTTATTTGGTGAAGTTGTTCGAGCACTCGGATTAAATCCAACAGAAGGTCAGATTAAAAGTACGACACAAAATTTAAAAACAGATCGAATATCATTTGAAGAATTTTTACCATTATTTGATTCATTAGCAAAAAAGAAAGATATTACTATGGGTGAAGGCGAACTTATTGAAGGTATATTTTGAAAAATAGAAATATTTTCTATTTTTTTTTTCTAATTTAGGTTTAAAAGTTTTTGATAAAGAACAAAATGGTAATATATCTTCAGCTGAACTTCGTCATTTATTAACAAATCTTGGTGAACGTTTAACTGATGAAGAAGTTGAACAGTTACTTTCAGGTCTTGAAGATAAGAATGGGCTGATTCATTATGAAGAATGGGTTCGAAAATTATTACGCTATTAAAATATATTACAAATAATCAAACATTTCTCTCTTTTCTTTTTTTAATTTATTATATTGATAATATTCAGTGCTATTTATGTGCATGTTTTTCTTTTATGAACGATCTATTTTTTTTTGTTCTGTAACTTCATATTTCATTCCACCGTAAATTTTTGTTGAATTTAATGAATCTCGAACGAATAAATTCAATTTTTTAGATGTTACTTGATTCTAAGAATTTACCTTTTTGTGTACGATTTCGAACAGAAAAAATTCTTTCATCGAAGTAAGTTTTCAATGTCTATATACTTTTAATGAAATACTAACACGCATGGTTGTCTACAATAAGAAAAAAATCTAACGATATACTATTCTTAGACCCTAATAAAATGAATTGTAGAATTATCAATAAACTAATATTTAGAGGGAAAATATCTATGAAAGAGCTAGTCATGAATACAAACACACATCGGGCGTGTGTTGTTATTTACAAATATGTATAATTATACAATGGATACAGTCGTATTTTTATATAAAATCAGTCTAAAAACAACTTACCGACATTGTTGCTTTGAAATTATATATAACATTCTTTATCAAATCATTGTTGTCATTTCTAATCTATGCTCGTATTTTTTGATAAAGATAAGAAAATAGAATTTTGATCGTTATTATAGAAGATTACAGATGTAGACTTAAAATTCAATTAGGAGTTGTCTTGAAATTACTCATGGGAATATTAATATGAAAAATTGTTAACGTAATTTTAACATAAAATATTTTCAATACTGAAAAATATATTACCCACCTTCTCTGTACAGTTTATTACCCGAGTGATATATCTGCAAATTAATAACGTTTTATTTTTTGTAGGATTCGATATTTCGACGTAATTATTCTCATTCCCAATCTCATTTTTCTTTTCTTCATTATTATTAAATGGATTCGAAAACGTACTAAATTAAATACAAATAAGCCATTATTATTAAGTATTACTTGTTTACTTCTTTCTGTAATATTAACGAATATATTACGATGTTTATTTGTTATGATATTTTCTAATCAATCATTTCATGCTCAAGAAATTATTGTTAAAGTAAGAAATATATTTTCTTGTTATTCTTATAAAAAATACCATTGATTTTTCGTCGATAGATTTTTTGGTTACTTATTCGATTTGCACTTTTGTGGACAGAATTAAGTATTCTTCTTTTTGGTGTTTGTTTCGGTAATTTTTTCGAAAGATAAAAAGAAATTTTTTTTAAGATGAATTCTTGTAGGACATTCAAATTCAAATCGTCAATCGATAAAAATAATCAAAATATTAATTGCTTCATTTATTTTTTCATCTATTTATACAACTAGTCAAGTAAAAATTCTTCTTCTCATTTTATTTATTAATGATTTACTTTTTCTTTTGAAAGGCTGTATTAGAATTTCGTAGAGATACTCGACCTATACAATTTCAAACAACTTATTATAATCTTTATTCACATGGTGGAATGAAATTTTTGTTTATATCAAGTTCAATTTTTCTTATCGTAAATTTATTTGGCAAAAAAAATGACATTTTCAATTATATTGTTTTATCTATTTATTTAGTTATATTTAATTATCTTCACGCTATGGTGTTTATGTCGTCGACAACAGAAATTTTTACCAAGTAATAGTTCTAAATTATTTTGAAAAAGTATTTATATTTTTCTTTAGTTCGTCGATCGTTTTATTTCTATTGTTTTGTTTTGATTTTTGTTAATATGATTCAAGTTATTGGCGCAATGCTGAATTTAACAGAAACAACAATATGGAGCATGTGGTATGTCAGAATATATTAATGAATAATTATGAGAATATGAAGATGTATAAACATTGACATAGAACGAATGTTAAAATTAATTCAATGATTTATAGATTTTGAGTAGAAATTACTATTACATCTCACAAAAAGTCTCTTATTCTAATCAAGCTACAAAAATAACATTTGAATTGAGCATCGTATCATTTATTTCCTGCTTATTCGGATATATTATTATATTGTAAATGATCTTTTGAGATAGAAATGAAATTTTTAGGAAATATCAAAATTTTTTTTTCTAAAAAAAGAAACCATAACTTTATCATATATTATATAAAAGATTGAATGGATTTGTTCCTAGTCTATAATTTCAATTTTGAATAGCTTGTAAATATCATTACATTCGCTATGGATTACTAACATTCACTTAGCATAGAATTAAAAGGAGAATGTTATAATTGGAAAAAAACTGATTGAATACTATTCGCATCGAAGAATATTGATAATTATATTAATAGAAATAGCCTTAAAACAATATAAATTATTTTTTTAGCATTGTTGAAGGTATGACATGTATATTTTATACGTGCTTTGCTCCATTTGTCTATTATCAATTTCTTCGTCGAGTTCTAAGGTAAATTTATTTCTTCTCTCTTCAATCTCTCTTATAAAACTTTTCATTTTAGTTCAAAATTACTTATTCCAGAAATATTGTATGCTGATTCAACATTAACAAATAATGATGAAGATGATGAACTTATCGATACTGGTGCTAATCCATTCTATAATAATTCAACAGATGAAAAACTTGATGGTCAGTTTGAAGATATAACATCTTCAACAAATATAATTCAACCAGTTTTGTAAAAAAAGACAAAAATTCATTTTTTTTATAAAGATCTAGATTTTTTTCTTTTCTCGATCTTTGTTCAATATATAATTATTCAATTTTTTTTTTCATAAATCAAGAAAAGAAAAATTACAATGGTGGTGCACAACAGAATTTACGTGAACGATATAACCATGGTGGAATACCATCATTTTCAATCAGTTCTATAATAAAAATAAAAATTCTATTACAGAAAATTTGTTTTTTCTCTCTTTACCAGAATCTGTACTTTCCGGTAATAATTCGTAAGCAGCATGAGGTTGATGCTCGACGTGTCCTTGTAACTAAAAAAGAAAATATTTTATTATAAAAATTTCATTATTATGTTTATCACACACTTACCCATTTATGTTTGTTCATTGATGATGGATATGCATGAGCAATAGATAAACAAACAATGATAAATATGAGAAAACGTATGAACCAAATAGACATGATTATCCTGTGTATCTATCGGGGTTTAGAGTGTGAAGAAATGTCTATTAATACGAGAGAAAAAGAAAATGAAGGCTTAGCTCATTCGAGAGAGAGGAGAGAAAAAACTAGAGTCTTTTTTTTCTTCTTCTTCTTCTCTTGACATCAACCGATAAATACCGGACATCAAAGCTATACGAGACTCTCGAGAAAATTACAGTCAAATTATTTTCTAATGCGTTGGTGGAAATCAATTTTTCTTTTGTTTCGATTATAGTCGTGAAAAAAAAAGAAAACTAAATTTATTGTTTTTATGACTTTGTTCTCTTGGTCTCTAAAGACTATCGGATCGGATCCGAACAATTGTTCACTATTGAAGCGAGAAATTCACAAAGACATATTACGATTTGGAAGATTTACCAAAAAAAAAAAAATAAATATTATTTTTCTTAATACTACCGCCTTAATCGAAGAATAGGAAGTGTTATTATAAAACAACTTTGAAAAAAATTCATAAAGTTATAACTAAAAAACGATCTATCTACTCTTTTATCAAATGGACATAAACGATAATGACATTAATATTATTCGTTTGTACTTACAACATCAAATATCTTATGCGTAAAAAAATATTAACTTAATATTAAATTAATGCCAATTGTAATTTATATAACGCGTAAAAATATTTTAATCTATAGACTCAACTCTTTGTTAAACTTATCCAGGTTTGATATAAGGACATCAGATTATTTTTTATGGCAAATATAAACAATAGGAAAAAGAACTCAATTAAAAAGAAATTATAGATCAACTAAGTATCTACTTAATGATGATAGATGTTAGTATTATGGTAATAATAACTTCCTACTAATGGAAATCTATTAAACTACTATTGTTAATACTAATAGAAAAAAAAACGTACTAAAGTATTTTTTTCACTTCTAGTGCAAAAAATGTTAGCATTGTTTTAAAGCTAATAATATTAAACGAATAAATCTGATTTAATATTAAAAATTTTCCCAATGGATGTGTAAAGATAAAAATATCTCTTCTTCAATTATTTAAATTTATTCCGATACGAATGTGTTTACATTAATAGCAATGAAGTAAATCTCTTCGTAATGAGTATTCTATACAGTTAAATTGTGAATATGCATACTTTTTGACAATATTGTTTATCTTTATTTAGCGAATAAGAAACAAATATTGATAAATTCATCAATTGAATGACGAATATCAATTGTAATCATAATAATAAGAATAGAAAAAATTTCAATGATGATACCTTGTTATTATTAATTAATTATGGAAATTTATTTTTTGTAAGATTATTAATTCGTTTGAGATCATGCAGTACTTCTATCATGTGATAGTTTCTCAAAATTCAGCATAAAATTGATTCATTTTTGTGATATTATTTATAAACAAGTCATTTGTTCACTTTGATATGCAACTAAAATAGAACATATTCACATCAGAAATTATTGCTCGCTTACTGTTTTTCCTAATTGGTGATAAATGAAAAACAACATGAATGTAAATTGAAAAAATATTAGTCATACAGATCTCTGTTAATTATCTTTATATCGCTGATGATAACTTAAAGACCAAACATTCAATCTAATTTTTTTTGCCTGTATTCTATCTAACTTGAACAGTATTTTATTTAAATAGAAAAATTGGAATCGTTATCTATTGTTCCAACTAAATTTCTATAGTTTTTCTTTCCGATTGTTCCATTGAATGAGTTCTTGATAGAGAAATTTTTTTGTTTAAATTCGAACAATTAAATAAATATTAACCTTTTAGAAATTTTTCATATGTTAATAGCCATTGAAACCTTTCCTAAGTCTCAAGTTACCTATATCATTTATATTTTTAATAAGATTACATTTTTTTTATAAACGTCGTAGAACATATTTTTGAAGAATAAGAATCGCCGAAATTTTATCTTCATTGTGCACTTTGACATTAATAAAAATGACGTGTATAGAAAGAAAAAGAAACTTTAAATAACATCGAGAAGTTGACATAGACTTACCTGTTAATTGAAATTTCTATGACAAAAACAATAATAAGAAAAAGCACAAAGTTCCTGTTATTGTTTTTGATGAAGTGAAAGAAAAATAAGTTTAATTCAAACATTTTTTCGTCGCCAAAACAAATAGTTTTACATAATTTTTAATCATTCGAAATTTCGTAGTTAGAGATAATAATCTTATCATAATATGATTTCAAAATAATAAAATAAATCTATTTGACATTCATTTGATTGACTATTTATATATATACATATTAGTTTTCTTTCTTAAAAACATGTAAAAGCTTTTGATATTAGATTCACGAAAGAATCAATTGATTTAATCGAATAATTCTGTCAAAGAATATTAATATAAAAACAATTAACAGTAAAAATAATGAAGAATTAAAATTTATAATGTGTCGAACAGTCTCGTTTTCTTTATTTATTGTTTTTGCTAAAGCCACAGACGAACGACAACAAGAGCAAAACTGAAGACAAATACAACATAAACCGGTCTCATATAAAGACAGAAATAGAAGAGAAATAAAGTACTGAATGCATATCGTAAAGAAATCGATATTGACCAAATTGATCTACCAGTAAAAATTTTGATTAAAAACGTTTCTTTTTTTTTATGTATTTCCTGCACTGAAAATTTTAAAGAATCGCACAAATTTTGCCACAAAAAAATTCATTATAAAATACCAAAGATTTCTTGCTGTAGGTCGTTTTGATATAAATACTCTCCATAGAAGAACAAGAATTATTGTATTAAATGTCCAACGAATATTTCGTAAATTATTTAAATGTTTTTGTGCTCCATTTAAACAATTCATATCTTCATTTAAAATATAACGTTTTGTACCAATTAAATATGATTCAACGTACGTTGGCCAATGTAAAGCACGTATATCAAAATAAAATTCATTCGAGTTATTTGTTTCACTAACTAATTGTCTTAATGCATTTAAACTATCATATGAACATTGTATTTCACCTCGAATTGTAAATGATTCTAGACCAAGAAGAATACGATGTAAATTTTTATATATATCAACAACATGTGCTTTTTGACCGATTAAACGTAAACCAATATCAGCTAAATATGCTGGAATAAGATGTGAAAAGAATACATAAGAATCATGTATTAAACTATGACTTGTTACAGATAAATTTGGACGACGAAATGCATGTTCATATGGAATACGTTTTGAATATTCAGTAAAATAATTACTCATTTCTTGCCAATGAAATGGATTAAGACCACTTGATGTACAATGAAAGATTTTTGTTAACTGTTCTTTATTTTCTTCATGATATCTTTCCCATGATGCAGCAATTAATAAATTAACAGGTATATCAACAGGTACAATATCAAGTATATCATGTGAATCACTTTTCATTGAACGTAAATAACCACGACCAGCAGCAACAAATAATTCACTTGGTCCATTAGATTTTTCTACCCAACCAGGATAGGGTTCTTTCCATGCTGCACCTATAATTGATACACGAACGATTGATATTGATGGAAGATTTTTTTGTTCTTCAGCTAAAATTGTTTCAGCAAGCCAATGAGAAAATGTAAATGCATTAGGTTTAGGACCGATTAATTTTGGAGTTGCTAATGCGACCATTTCTTTATCCATCCAATCAAGTGCATCGACTAATTTTTGTGGTTCAATAGGACATGGATAAATGCATTCATCAATATATGGACAATCTAAAGATACGAATTACAGATAATCCAATAGTGATAGAAAGAAAAAATGCGTTTACCGATATTAGCATATATTGATGATAGATAAACAATTGATTTTAATTGTGTACATGTTTTTAAAAATGTTAAAATACTTTTTAAATCCATAACATTCGTTTTAATCATCTCTTTTAAATTTTGTTCTTCGAAATCTACTGAATTATTTGCAATATAAAAACATAGATCAACTGTATCTTGTAATTTTCTCCATGATACTGTTTGTAATTGGCTTTGTTCATCAGAGTCTAATTCTGTATCTGTTGTTGTCGTCGATGATATTAAAATATTCATGTCAAATGGAATAATTTTTTCTTGAAATTTTGCATTAATACGTCTGACACGATCGAATAATTTTGTTGTATAGATCTCTGCAAATGTATCCACTGGAGAAAGTTGATGTGTCACTGTTGTTTTTGTTGGATGTATAGGACAATAGATTTTACCAATATTTAGACATGAACGTAATAATTTTTCAAGTAAAACTTTACCGGGAAATGTTGTGGAACCAATAACTAAGATATTTTTTCCTTCATAAAAATCGCTAATACTCGACGACATGATATTTTCTTATGGATACAATGAAATCTGAAAAGAAAATATATATTCTCCTTTTATTTAAATAATTAAAACACGTCAAAAAATATCTTTTGAAGTTCCAGCGACGCATATTCGAGTAATCGAAAGAACACAAATGCTGTAGCTATTTACGTTTCTAGAACTTTTTTTTTGTTTCTTATTATTTTCTTTTTTTCTTTGCTTTACAATCACCGCCCACACAATTGCTTCTACGGTCGTCATATTTTGCTATTCTATGACAAGATTTTGCTTGTAAATGATTGTATTTTTTTCTACCATTAGTCTTTCACTCGTTCCTTCTTACTAGGACACACAGTCTGATTCGTAAGCGTCTGAAGTTGACGCTACCATTCATAGTAGAGAAAAAGAAAAAGAAATAGAAATGCAAATGTTATCTATCATATTTGCTACAAGAGCAAACGACAATATGAATAATTGTATACTTCAAGAATCATGTTCTCGGATCAAAAGCAAATAAAAGATTATATATCTTATCATTTCAAAGAATAAACCGAAAATTAACATAATTAAATAAATTCATACTAGATTTGACTATTCTATAAAATATTTATATATCTTTTTTCAAAACTAAAACTGAAAGATTTCTATAAGTTCAATCATGTAAAATATGTATTATTCTATTAATGTTATTATTGAAACGATGAATAGCTTTATTCGTTCTAAGAACCAATCGAAAAGGTTCAGATTCTCAGCAATCAGTCTAACTGCAGATGATAGACGATAGAATCGTAATAGACAATTATCTCTGAACAAAAAAAAACAGGTGATTATTATCAGTTAGTGAATTTCATGAACTCTCCTTATTCCGGAAGAAGATTCACTCTTTTTTCTTGTCATATTATGCGTATGGGTGGATATTTATAATTAATGTTGAAATCTATTATATGTGTATAAATGTCAAGTTAATTTTTCATAGAACTTTGAAATGAAATATTGTATTAATCTTTACCTGTTAATAAATATGATCGTTGTTTCATTTTCATCTTCTTCGGTAAGAGAAGATTATGCTTTAGAAAATGTCATATATATTCTAAATATTAATTTCGTTGATTTGTATTAGTCATTTAAGAGTATTATATAAAAAATACTAGATAAACTGTAATTTTTTTATGCGCGTATATTAATCTCTCCGAATAATTTGCTTTTTAGATAATAATATATTTATAAAATTATCCTTCTCATTCGTACATAATAAAAAAAAGGATATTGTCTTAAGATTATGATTCTTATAAACGATAAGTTAAGCTGTTAAAAAACAAATGAATATATTTTTTATGAAAAAGATTTCTATCACATAGTCAAATAGACTTTACACAGTTAATAAAAAATGTTTAATTCTCTTCATCATTTTCATCTGCATCTTTAAGGCTTAAATCAATATCTTCTTCATATTCTAAATCACTTGGTTGTTTAGTTTTTTTTCTCTCGTCATATTTCGGTTTCTTTTCTTCGATTTTCATTTCGTTCAATTGTTTCCAAACATCTTCTTCACCATTTTTATCAGTCATTGCTTTCATAAAATTATCATTATTATTTGTTTCTTGAAGAAATCTTGACCAAAGTTTAGGATATTCATCAGCAACGTCAACTCGTGTAATTTTTTTTCTTTTTCCTTCTTCCGCTATCCATGTAATGAATTGTTTAGCTAACATTTGCCATTGCTGAAGAATTTCATTAGAAAATAGCAACCATTTTTGTATAGCATTGAAACGACGAGTAACTCTTTCAAGTGTATCTGGTAAATCCATTTTACGATCTTTTTCCCAATGAGACAACATTGGACGAGCTTTTTCACGTATAGCACGAAGAAGAACATACCATATAGTTTTCTTTTTTAATAAACCAATAACTTGATCATTTTTATTTAAAAAATAAAGTACACTACCTAAAGAAAAAAGAATAGCGTATTGAATTTTTCTTTTTCTGCATTATTATTCATACCTTCACATTCATGTCGATATTTAATTGATGTTAAATATTCATTAAGAATATGAGGTTCATTTTCAATAATATCATATTCTGTTGCTGATAAATGTAAACAACGAGCAATTTCAATAGCATAATCAGGTGGTAATGCACATAGATTTGTAACAACAGCATCGAAATCTTGAGGTACTTGTGCAAATGTAATAAATTTCAATTCCGAACGATTTGGTTCATTTTTTAAATAACATAAATTAACAACATGTTGATGATCATAATTAAGTATTTCAAAAACAGCTGTATATCGTGTTAATGATAGAAAATTTAATAATTTTGAACCTTTATCAGGCATACGTGATAATGTATCAAGAATTGTATGACAAAATGAACTTGCATAATTATATGTTGATTCATTTCCATACGCTAATATATCAGAATGAGTTCGAAAACATATATGAACATTTTTCGAGCCAGCAATTAAAACTAAACGATTATCGGGTGGAAGTGATATACATGATAAATGACATGCTTCACCTATGTTTTAATAAAATAATATTAATAGATGAGATATGAACATTTTTACCATTAATCTTTTTTGTACAGATTATTTGAGATGCTGTTCTAGGGTGTTCAAGAAAATATCGAAGCCATGCTTGATTATCATTTTCTCGATCATCATCATCACTTAGAAAAAAGAAAGTTATTGATGATATTGACAAATTAGAATTTTTACCCAAGACCACCACTAAATTTTCTTAAAGCAAAAAGACCAAAATCTAAACGTGGTTGACCTTCATCTTTTAATCGGCATTGAATTAGAGTACATCCACGTGGTAAACGTTGTCTTAATTGTTCATCTTTATCGTATAATTTATCATCTGGACCTCTACAAGAAATTCGAACATCAATAATTTCACCTTCAGTAATCTTTGGTCCTAAGAAATTCAAAGAAAAATAATAAACAATACAAATAATTTTGTTTTTTGTTCATTACCTAAAATTGATGTAGGAATGGGTTTTGCTGAGGCTTTAATACATTTAGCTCGTGATCGTATCCATTGCATATAATTATTGACAGCTGGTGTTGTACGTGCTAAATCTCGATGAGAATTTGCGACACGTTCATTTAATAACTCTACCCAATGATCAGCTTGATTACTTCGTTTTAATTCAATATTTTCTTTTAGATAGTTGATTATTATATCCCATGAGAGAATATCATAATTTAACTCGTTTTCTCTATTATAAGCCATTTATGAAATAAAATAAAATAAAATATAACCACAAATCAGATAGTATTTGTTTTTATATAAATGTTATTGCATCATCAAAAGAAATATCTATAAAAAATAAGAAATAATATGACGAAAGTGCCGTCATTTATTGCAACAAAAAAGACCGAAGCATTATATGACGTCAGAATGATTGGTAAGAAACTTTTTCAGTAAGATTGATAAATACAACATATTTTCACACAATAAATAATCACCTAGAACTCTGGTTAAATAGGATTATATGCATGATACATTCTCAAGGCTTTAACATTGTACATGTGAAATAAGACCTCCAGGTATACAACTCGAATAGTATAAATCATTTTTTTTCAATTTTTCACATGTGTATTTTAGCTATGGGACATATTATAATTTATAAAAAAATCATTTATTTCTTATCTAAGAATTAATTTACCTTGAATACTACATTTATGTTTAATATATATTTAATTATGTCTATAAAATAAAAAATCACCAGCTAATTTATCGAAATATTTAATTATATGCTTTCATATTTGAGAATTATAGCTATCAGAAAGATTTCAAATAAGAACAGTAAAAGTAAAATTGTACAATTATGTATTTTAAGTTTATCTCTGTTGAATCATACAAAACATTCATTGCGCAATATTATCGTACGATAGAAATAATTCTTCTATCATAATTTAAAAATATCATATAAAACTGCAAGATCACTGTGCCCTTGTATTATCTTATTCCGAAAGATAAAAAATGAACTTGGAATACTTTTAAAGTTGTTTACTAACAAAAGATGTCCAATTGGATTTCATCCTACCAATCAGTAGTTAAGATGAAATCGATAGGATAATAAAATAGTGAATAATTCCTAATTTTATAAAACAAGATTTCAATCATATTTATTTAACTTATAATAATATTTAGAAAATTTTCTGTGTTATATTTTTGTGATATAATCTAATATAAACAAAATAACCCTATGTATGACAATGAGTATTATTTTATTTGTATTATAGATAATAGAAAAATATGACTACTGAAAGAATGCCACAGACTTTAGAAATTATAACTGACCAACAGACTGAAGCAGTTGTTGAACAAACACATCGTTTAAGTTCAATAATGCCTATTGTTATAATGTCTTATATTGGCGTATTAATTCGTCTAGGTTTAGCGTTTCTTGGTAATAATCAAACACCATTAAATGCAGCATTTTGGCCAAATTTTGTTGGATGTTTTATAATGGGTTTTATTGTTGAACAAAAATTACATATTAAACATCAGTATGTTATTCATTGAACGAATTTTTTTTCAATAAATTTCCTATTTAGTTTTGCACAATTATATATGGGTTTAACTACTGGTTTATGTGGTTCAATAACTACATTTTCTGGTCTAATGTATAATTCATGCGTAGCTTTATTTGGTCCACAAAGTCATTATACATATCCTATATCGAATTATTTATCTGTGATAATATCTGCTTTTTCTGCATCATATATTGGATTTATAATAGGACGTCATTTGAGTTTATTTATTCTTCCACCATCATCACTGACAACAAAACGTGCTCAATATTTAAATAATTCTATATGTATTTGGATATTTCCAATATTAACTTTATTAAGTATTCCATTATTAATTCTTCTAGCTGTTCTATTACCTACTGGCCATTATACATACTTGATTTATTCAGTTATTTTTGCTCCATTCGGTTCATTAACTCGATATGGATTATCGATTATTTTTAATTTCAATACAAATTTTCCACTTGGAACATTATTAGCTAATATAATCGGTTCATATATTTATTTCGGTATGGTAACAATAAATGAATATGTACATGCATTATCTCCTCTTGTTGAACAAATAATAATGAGTATTATACAAGGTTATTGTGGTTGTTTAACAACTGTTTCGACATTTATATTAGAAGTAGACACAATAAAAAAACGCAAATATATTTATCTTTATTTTATAATGACTTTATTACCCATTCAAATAGTTTATATTATTTTGGGAGATATCTTTTCATTACTTTGTTCTCCATCATAAATAATTATTGTTATGATCTGTTAAAACATATCATCTCTATAATGAATAATTCAAGTCTTTCTTCTTTTGAAATTTTAAATGAAAGAATCTCAACTAAATTTTTCTGTTTTATCAAACATATATAAATAAAATAAATATTTTTTTCTAATTAAATTTTCTTTTAAACAATACCGCAAGATTTTGAGAATATATCTCGGTTTTATTTTCAAAGTATTCCTTTTAAAATTTTCAATATAAACACATTTAGTTATTAGTCTTTGAATGTCAAGTTCAAATCAAATGACCTAGACAATTTTGCAAAATGTCTACAACATTTTTCTAAAAATACGGATTATTCTTTATTAAATTTTTGAATCAAATACAATTATATTATATTAGAATCACAGTTGCGGATGTCAAGACTAATATAAATCCAGACGACAAAAAAATGAAGAGACGTTAGATTAAATTTCTAGTTTATCTTCATGTTTGCCCTTGAAGTCAAATTAGATAAATAATAAATTTTATACTTATTTTCATCATAAACTAAAATCACACATGTGAAGTCACGTGTTACATAAACAAGAAAAAACGTGATCAATAATTTTAAATTCGCATTAACCCTCCATATCGTATGATATTTGAATAAAAAAAGTAATTTATATAAATACAAAGACTCATTTATTTAAAATAGGTTATAATTAGACCTTCGCACATCTGTTATATAAATTGACAATATATTTTATTTATTATTACCTATTTTCTAAACTAAACAATTCAGTAGAAATAATGACTCGATCTATCATGAATAAATGCACATTTTATATACAGAAAATGGAAAACATCTGGGCCTATTAATGATATTATTTCATATATATTAATATACAATATGAATTAGAAATATATGAATGTATGGTTAATAGATGAAGTTTAATTATTATACCAGGCATTGAAAAACAATAGAATATTTATAACTAATCGAATGGGAAAAAATTTTTCTTTTGGTTAAACTAATGTATATATAATTGTATCCGGTCGATTTAGATTGAAAAAAAACGATTTTATTTTTCATTTATATATATATAATGATCATAACTATCATTAAAAATAATATTCCTAGGGTCAATGTTCCTTTTTTCTTCGAACAGTATGACCTTCTATTATTGATAAGAAATATGTTGAAATATTATTATTATTAGAATTAACAGATGTTTATAGATATTAGTTTTTTTCTTTTTTTAATATTTCTACCCATTACTATTCATTTTTTATTAACTTATTGCCATTATATATATATATATATTTCAATGTATTATTTATAATTGATGCCGTTCTTTGGTGTCGCGTATGAGACCATTTAAAATGAAAAATATCTAATAGAATAGGATAGATCTACTTGAGAATACTTTCTTTTTATTGTTAATGAATAGAATAAAAGACAATTAAGAAGAAAATTGGCTATATTTTCAAGAAGGTTCTTAGTAATATTGTCTTTCTATACTATTTACCCTTGAAATTTGTATATAAACGAAATATAAATTGAACTCGTATTGTTCTATTATTATCAATCTATTGATATTTCTTTTTTTTTTGTTTTTATATATATTAGTATGAAAATAAAAGAAATACATGCATATGATAATATCGTATTTATCTACCCGAAATACTTGCAATAATAATATGTTTTCTGTTTTGAAATCTTCTGCATCAACGACTTGCCTCGTGTTTCTTTTTTATTTGACGTCTATATACATATTTGATTGACAAACAAAAATAGCTTCAGGCCCTATCATTCAAATATGTGCGATAGCCATGTATAGTGAGTTATTATTTTCTTTTTCTTTCTCAATCAACTGTCAAATCAATGTGTCGTGTTAACGTTAGTAATGATGATAACGATGATGATGATGATGATGATGATGATGATGATCATCATCATCTTACAGTGATGCATATCATGTGTATACTGTGTTCCCAACTAATAAACAAAAAAACAAGAAATTGCCCAATTACTATTGTTGATTAACCGAACTATATTTTTTAATTGAATTTTTAGATTAATGCTTGAGGAAAAGGAAAAGACAGTGTCAATTGTCTTTATGAATTATTATGACATTGTACTTCGTCTAGCTTCACTGATGATCTAGAAAGTAGGGTGTTTTCTTTTTTTGAAGAACAACAAGAAAGAAGGAAAAAAAAATATATATATATATCCAGGACTGACAATGGAACTATCGACGACGTACAGATCCGAACAAAGAAGCAGATGATTCCCTATGCACGACGACAATAACATACTTCATCAACCTATAAGAAATAAGGAAAAAAAATCAAGCGAAAGCCTGGAGGATGAGATGCACGATTGCACTGATTTGGATAGAGCATCAATATCTTCTAACAAAAAAACATATACTTTGTTATGCACATGCAAACATAGAATTATTATTTTTTTTTTCTTGCTTTCATTTTCTATATGTATATATGTCTTCGTTGTCATCTAGGGGTATCAACAAAGAGATTAAATTTCGTTGCCATAACGGCAAAATATTGACACTAAGACATAATCAATCAAACGTGTGTTATGTTCGTGACGAGGGTCGCAAACAATTGTTAAAGTATAAAGTGCAGACATATATATATATATACTTGTGCATATATATAGAAAGAATTAAAAAGAAAGAAAATGAAAAAGCATCTCAACTTTTATTTTTCTTTACTTTTATATTCTTTAATACATGACCTTCGATAAGATGTTTTCTACATTTAAAGTTTATTTGGTATGTAAAACTATTATTTTTCTTTTCATGTTAGTTTCAATTAAGAACGAGAGTAGTGCAAATGACGAATCTTATTAAATTGCTAGTTGATGACATTTGATTCGATGTTGTTGTTGTTGATGTTATTGTTGTTGTTGTTATTCGCTTGTGTTGAAAAACACTAGTATAATAATTGTGGAGAGAGAGAACGACAATGTGTATGTTGTTAGCTCGATTTCTTCTCTTTCGATCTCAATTTCTTTTTCTCGTTTTTTTTCTTTTTTTTGCTTTTAATTATTTGCCTGCCCTCAAAAATATATCTTAAATGATAAGAATAACTAACATACACGTGTAATATAGTCTTTATATTACACTCTATAATTTGTTGGAAGCAATGAGTGAAAGAGAAGAAAAAAAGATGAGACGATAGAATATGAAGAACTGACGAACATATTCTATTCATTAACGACATGATTTATACATTAAGAAAAGGTCAATGTGAAAAATAACAGGTGTAAGCTTGAGTAAATTGACATTTCCTATAGCTATGAAATAAGCAAATTTCGCACATCTGATCTTCATTCAATATTTTTTTCATTTTAATAGACAAGTAATTTAATACTATGAAAGAGATGCATTTTTTTGTGTTATATTAAGATTTTTAAATACATAAAATTGTAATTGATCTACTTCATTAACAATGAGACAAAAAAGGATTCTCAATATAAGGATTAAAATAAAATAAAGAAGGCTTATCATTGATTATAATGAACAAAAGAGTAATCATTTTCATGATAACAATTGAAAAAGAAAGATTTCTTTAATGAATAATTCCTCAGCTGTCGGCGCCCTTTCATCACAAAACAAGTTTTTCTTATTTTTGCCCTTAGCAATCTAATAAAAAAAACCTGAGATATATTTATTAAATGAGGATGTCACGATGGTTGATAAAAATAGAAGGATAAACTTAGTTTTTTTTTCTATCACCTCCTCATCTAAGATGCAAATTAAAAGGTATACATTTATCTTTCTCTCTCTCTCTGAATATATTTATATATTTAAATGCATATGTGATGGCTTAGCAGGCATATTTATTAATCTGATTAAATCAGTTTTAGTGCTTGAATAGAAATAATATTAAAAATAAACTTAAACAAAAGCGCATTATTTGCCTTTATTTCTTTGCCAAAAGAACATTTCTCTATTCTTTTGCATATAGATTAAACATTTACACAGTTACTAGCAGATTATGATCAACTTGAAAGACATGCATTTCTGTACGTGTATTTATAAAAAAAACATACCATTCTTTTTAGTTTAGTTTGATCTGTATGTTTGTCATTTCGTTTATTATTATTATTGACTTTGCGAACATAGAAGAACAAAAAAAAAAAAGTAATACACCCTATGGTAATATTAAATCTGATCATAATATACAGATGTTTTGATTAATAAGAGCAAGATGACCTGATATAGAAAATCAATTTGTTCTGTTAGATATCATAATCACATAAATCTGATTCTACATAAACAAGAATGAAAACTATGGAATGCTAATGATAGGCAATCATAAAATGTGTGTGTATGTATGTCCTACATAGTCCTTTGAAAAGGATTATACGTTATTATAGGACGGAAATCCTCGATTGTTCTTCTTTCTCATTAAGCAATGCCATCAACATAAAAAGAAAAGAAAAGAAAAGTTAAGCTCTCTCCCTCTCTCTCTATATATATTCTTTTTGTGTTCTCTTCCCTCTTGTCATACAATCCAGTCCATAACAGCACTATATACAGCTGATCGAACGCGAGTAGTTTAACGTTCTTCTCGTTTTTCTTTTTTCTTTTCATATGAATTATATTGCTGACGTCAGCTTAGCCTTTTTCTCTTTTCTTTGGTTTGTTTATCGTCAAGTGCCCGCGAAATTTTACTCTTTGTCTTCAGCCCGAATGATCCGGGCAAATAAAAGAGAAAGAGAAAAAGAGAGAGAGAACGCGAATGGGGCAAAGAAAAAAAAAACAGCTGAGAAATAGAGAGAAAGAGAAACCCATATGATAGCTCGGGCAAGAAAGAGAGCGAGAGAGAAAAAATGAGAGAGAGCACCATACGGTCCTGTTTGTCTTCTCGTCGTCGTCAGTGGTAGTTGTGGTGGTGGTGGTGGTTGTGCATGTTCGAGATGGGAAGAGAAGAAGAGTGACATTGACAGGGATAAAACTAAACAGTATAGGCATCAAAATGAATACTATATACAAAAGATTAAAGGTAACTTGTCGTATATTTTTGCTTTTCGTATTACAATATATTGTATAAATGACAATGTCTATCATCATCAATATCGATAAATAACTACAATAGTAAGCAAAAAATAAACGAACAAAAGACTAGATAAAAATGTAAAACATGCTTAGCATACCAAGATAGTCAAACAATTGATCCTAATTTATATGAAATCTTGTAATATGACTGGCTTTTGTTATAACCAATGAAGCAATTTTGAACGCATGTTTATTTTTAATAAAATATATATATACATAATTTAGGTATTATATTTCAAATTGTTTTTTAATTATTATTTTTAGATATGAGTTACGGGCTGGGAGGTGCCTGTGAAACTGCTAGTAATATTAGTACTTGCACAGACGGTGAATATCATCAATATATTAGTCACTATAATACTCCTAGTCGTTCCCACCAACAATCAAGACCATATTCAAACGGCTTCCAAAATCCTATAATGCTCAATGGTCACAATAGATTAGATGATACTGAAGAACATCAACAACAGATAGATGGTGATTATGAAGAAATCGCACCTGATCGACCTAGATTACTTATGTGGGGTTTAACAAAGTAATTTAAGAAAAAAAATTCTTCTTCTATATATACTTAAATCAATAAAATGTTTAGAAGTGGTAAAACATCGATTATTAAACTTATTTTTGAAAAAATGACAGCCGGTGAAACACTTCAACTTCCAGAAACAAAAATTATTCAAATACATGGTAGAAAATCTATTTTTAGATTAGATATTTATATCTATATCTATATGTATTTGTTTAGAACTCACTTGTGGAATTCATGTCAGATTTCAAATCCGTGATGTACCCGGTCCAAAAACAGCATCTTTACTTGATTATGATACATATTCATCTGAATGTACTACAATTGTTTTTATACTTGATGCAACAGTATAGACATTAAATAATATTATTTTATTCTGAAAAAAAAACTTTATGTTTCTTTTATAGGATGATTGTTCAGATTCAATTAATTTATTAGTTAGCTCTGTGCAATGGATGCATTCAAAAGGACTAGATGTTCGATTTGAAGTATTAATTCATAAAGTAAAACAAAATCCTATGAAAATAAAAACAAAATAATATTCTATAATAATTTTAGATTGATGGTGTACATGAACAAGATCGTTTAGATCGTTATTCACATATTCAGCAACAAGTAACTGTTATGTTACATGAATGTTCTATAGAAGCACCACTTATAAAGTAAATATTTGAATTTATTTCAAGTGATTTATATTCGAATTATATTATTGTTGTTTTTTAGTTTTTATTTGACAAGTATTTATGATCATTCAATATTTGAAGCATTTAGTAAAATCGTTCAAAATCAAATGAGACAATTACGTGTATTAGAAAATATGCTTGATTTAGTAACAGCGGTAAATAAAAAACAAATTTTCCATATAATTTTAATACACAAAAAAAATATCTTCTCTATAGACGACTCAATTGGATAAGATCTTTGTGTGTGATATTTATAATAAAATATTTCTTGCATCAGACACAAAACCCGTTGAAAGTCAAATATCAGAATTATGTTGTGATGTTGTTGATGTTTATACGGACATATCGTCTATATATGGGTAAATAATCTAATAGATAGGATATACATGGAAGAATACTAATTGAAATTTTGCTTTTTTTAGAAAAAGTAACAGCCCGGTGCTTGATCCATCGTCCTATTGTACTATTGAACTTTCAATAGGTCTTGTTTTATATTTAAAAGATATCAATGAGACAACGGCATTAATATGTATTTTAAAAAAAGAATCTAATATTAACGGAGGTAAATAAAGATTTAAATTCTAAGAAAAACAAAAAACAACATTTCATATGTTACCCTTTTTGTTCTTAGCTTTGATGGAAGTTAATTTAAATATTCTTAAACAAAATATTCAAGAATTATTTGTTGCTAATTCAAATTATTCACCACGACAACAATTAAATACATCCACTGAATGATTTGATAGGTGTTTACTTTGCTTTTGTTTTCCTTTTTTTTATTATTAATATATGTATTGTGCATTTTGTTGTTGTTGACTATAAGCGTAGAAGTGAATTCGTTGGCGTTGAAAGTCAAATACAGTTTTAGTCAGTAGATAAACGTTTTCAAGATGTATTTTGTTTATCTCTGTATTGATGCCGCCCTATATATATATCTATGTGTTTATGCCATTTCGAAAGAAACAAAAGAGACGAATTTTTTTCCTATAGCCATATATATATATCTATAAATCATAATAATGATAGTTTTATTTGAATAGTTATCATTATTTTCTTTAATGTGGTCTCTCTCGTTGAATTTTCTAGTCTATTTCTATTTTGTCTATAGGTTAATTTTGTTTTGACTATAAATCTTCTATAGGATAATAGAAAAAGATGGTGTTGTATTCTTCTTCTTCTTTTTCTTTTTATGAAATGTTTATTTGCGTGTCTAGATTAGTTATTCTCTTTAAGCATTTTCTTCTTTTTCTTCTTCTTCTTCTTCTTTTTTTTGTGCCTGATGCTAAATTTCCGACCGTGTTTTCTTCTTTTCGTTCCTACATATTGAGAAAAAAGAAAAAAAAGTATTGAGTTACACAAAACAGTTGCAGATATTTGATGCGTGCGTCTACGTTTATTCTTCTTAGCAATTTTTGTTTGTGAGCGTGTGTACATACGGATTGTTTTGTGTAATGCGTTTGAATATTATTATCATTAATATTCCCATTTTCGACACATCTTTTGTTTCTTTCGTTTCTTCTTCTCAAATGAATGATTCTATTTTTATATAACTACTACTACTATTATTATTATTATTATTATTATTGCGTTTTTTTTCTTTTAATCGTTGTTGTTGTTGTTGTTGTTGTGTATGTAGGCTCAGAAACGATAGGAAATGTTCAATGTCAAAATGATGATGATGATATGTTTGGATGAGAAATTTTTTTTTTTTCGAAATTGAAAATAAAAGAAAGTTTGAAAAGATATTTTATTGATTTATGTATAAAATTTGACGTTTAAAATTAGTTACAATGACGTATTTATCTGATGATAAATGTTTTTACACATTAGTTGACAGAGCATTTTTATATTTATGAATAATAGACGATGTAAATTTATTAATAGGTTTGCTTGCATCTGTCATATTGTTCATTAAATTTTCTAATAAATTCTGACACGTTCAATACATTTTCACCGACAAAATTTTAGTGAGTTTTTATTATTTATGATACGTAGAATTGGTAATAAATCAAAATTAAAACGCTTTTGATATATATATTAGGTGCATTTAAAATAGCGGTAAATATGTCATTGATACAATCATTTCCAATTGAGACCTATCAAGTAGAGTGAAGATATATAATATGTATCAAAGTTTTGAAAAGAAAATAAATTGCATGCATGTGTTTCCTTAATGTTCGTAATCGTTTTAGTAGGAAATAATAATTGCTTTAATGATTTATTCTACTTTTTATATCTTAGGTCAGAATGTACTATAAATAAAGTTATTATAATTGATGAATTATTGTTCAGGCTTTAAGTGTAAAAAGAACATATTCGTATGGATTTTATTGAAAAATAAATATTAAAAGAAGATCGTGCGTGATCTTCTTATCTTAGTTAAATACAGATAATTATGGAATTTAAACTGCATTGAAAACTAAATTCTATCCTTGACCCGTATTCATAAAATATTTAAAAAAAGCAGTGTCACACGAATAAGTAGAAGAGCACAATTCTGATCGTGCGTGTAAATTGAAAAAAAAATATCATAATCTACTAAACCACGCAATGCAATATTTTTATCTCAATATGATATTAAACTAAAGAAATCACGCTATTAAATACAAAAATAGAATGTTTTCAGACTACATGTTATAATCAACTCAATAAATTTAGAGTATTTTTCAATCACCTCATTGTCAAAGATATACATTCTTTTAAAAATGAATTGATATCGATATTGTCATTGAATATAAACAATATACCTAATTAAATAAAGAATTTTACTCATCGATACTTCCTGCTTGACATATATATCAAATAGATTATTTATTCAATATTTTCTCTTTTTTTGTATTTGAATAAAATAAAATTTTTTTCTGTATTTAACACAGAATATATATCGATATAATATTTTACTTGTCATTCCATGACATCTATCGAATATGATTTCGTAACTAAATGGTTGTATAGTTTTATCCATGAGTCATCATTGATCGATCAAGATCGAAAAGAAGAAAAACCTTTTTGTATACATTTAAGTTTAATATTATCTATAATGATTATCACATGACGACTCAATTAGATGAACATTATATTCGAACCAATGTCGAATGGTTCCAACTACCATCCGATGTTAAACAAGTATATTTAATTCTTTATTTCAAAATAATAATTATTATTTGCAATTATTTTTTTCTAGAAATTCAGTTGGAATACAGAAAAAGAATATGATAAAGCAATATTAATATTTTCAATAAAACATCAATTACGTCATAAAGGAAATTTAGGTATTTGAATAGAAATTTCTTTATCTCTAATAAAATTTTAATTTAGTTCGAAAAGTTCAAAAAGATTCAAGAAAATATTACGATGATCTTTTACGTTACAGTCGCGAACATTTAATGATTTTTGTAAGATTAAACCTTCCTACCAAAAAAATATTCTTATTCAATTCTTATAGCCATATCATTTAGCTGATATATATGTTAAAGGTTTACGTATAACCTCATTTTCATATTATATTGATATGATAAGTGATTTAGTTCTTCAAGAAAAATCTTACGATACATTACCAAATTTTACTGGTAAATTAAAAAATGATTTCTCTTTTGTTACTAATTTTTGTATTTTTTAATAGCTGCTGATTGTCTTCGTTTACTTGGTATTGGTCGAAATCAATATATTGAATTAATAAATCAATCTCGTACAATTTTACAAGCTGCAAGAAAGAAAATGTTTTTAAATTTATCGAACTGGAAAACACCTGCTTCGATTCGTCATTTATTACCATCACAACCAGTTGATTCCGTTCATATTCATCCATGGTGGGTTATTAATTTAGGTTGTGTAACTGATGATGATGTTAAACAATGTACAAATGAAGAAAAATTAATTATTGATTATCTTATTGATGAAAAATGTTCGAAATTAGCTGGTGAACTTAATTTTGATGCAATACATTCACTCTATCGTAAAGGTTTAATCTATTTGGAAGTACCTGTATCGGAGGAAGATTATATTCAAGTACCACCATTAGGTTCTGGTTTTGTTATGAATCGTATTGTTGGAGATTATTTTGAAGTTTTACTTTATAAATTATTTGTTTCAACAGATGAAGATACAAATGTCGGGGAATTATCAAGATTATTAACATTAGATATGGATTTAGTTAAACAAACAATGTCAATGTTTTTAAGATTAGGTTTTGCGCGAAAGAAAAATCTTGATAGTGAATATGGAGTTATTCATACATCATGGAAACATTATTCGTCAACAACTGGTTTACAATTACCACCACCACCAAAACCATTACCCATAGATAAAAATGCAGCAGATTGGACAAGAGAAATAGAAATGGATGCATCTATGACTGACGAAGATCTTATGTCGATTAGTACAACTGATGAACAAGTATTTAATATACTTTCTTATTATATATACATTAAAAATTTCTTTAATTTCTATTTAGAAATTTTTAATATCACCTACTAGTAGTGTTAATATACCAGATACTGTATCAATGTCAACTAGTACTGGTACATTAAAACAAAAACGTATTGGTTTTCTATTCGATTCTTCGTTAACAGCTTTTTTAATGATGGGTAATTTATCGCCAAATTTAAAAACTCATGCTGTTACAATGTTTGAAGTTGGTAAATTAGCTGATGAAATTCTTGGTTCATTTTTACTAGAGTTAGAAAGAATTTCACCGATATCTCAATCATCAATAAAATCTTCCGATGATGATAATCAAAGTGAAGGTGAAGCTGATCGATATTTTTTACATGCACGTGTTCTCTATCAAACAATCTCATTTTTACGTTTAAATAATGATTTATTTGATGATGATATTGGTAGTCTTGGAGTTGATTTACTTCGTTATGAAAGTTTATCAAGTCTTGATGCAAATACACGTCAACGTGTAATCGAACGTAATTATCATGTATTAATATCCATGGCACCCGTTAGTGCTGAGACAGTTTATTCACCATTTAATTCAACTGATTATCTTGGACCTTGTTTACAAGAAATGAATAGTGTATGGATGAAATTATTTATTTATAGTTTAACAAAATCAGGTCCACCATCAATACTTTTACCAAAAGGTTATCGTTTAAATATTTTACCGAATTGTTTACAAAATTTTGATAAATTTCTTGTTACAACATGGAATCATGAACCAACATATATATCAAATGTGAATATTTTATTAAGTATTAATGAAGCATTACTTCATTCAGCTGTACTTTTACAAGGTTTTTTATATGGCAATAATAATAATAATAATCATTATAAAGAAGAACATCAACAAATTCGATATGTACCATTTCCATTTGATCATATTGAAAAAAATCATGGATTAGAACAATTATCAACTGTTATCGATTTAAAAAATACATGTGGCTATGTATCAATGTTAACATTATCAGCAACGAATTCTGAAGAAGTTTTATTAGATATTAGGTAACAAAAATAGAAGTTTAGTTTTTTCGTAATTTTTTTTGAATTATATTATTTTGAAGATTTGGTATTCCATTATTTGATGAGAAGATAAGTGAAACAATTCGAAATGGAATTGTTAAACATAAACTATGTGCAAAAGAAAAGTAAAATTTGTTTTTTCGAAAGAAAATATTTTTTATTCTATTTCATTTATAATAGAGTTCAAGAACGTTTGAAAAGTATTCGTATTCTTTCAATAAGTTTAATTGCATTTATTGAACGTTTTCAGGTAAAATATTATTGAAGTTAAGGATTAAAAGTAAGATATGGTGTCCATTGAGCGAAAACCAAATCAGCGAACAAGTTTTTCAGCGACATACCTTTCGCCCTCACTAGTGGCGTAACCAGAAATTTAAGGATGCTGGGGCTCAGTCCCAGAACTGTCTAGTCTTTTGGTTTTTTTGATTGACAAGTTCAGTAACTAAAAAATCCGGGTGATGGAGTTAAGCCTCAGTGTGGTTACGCCACTAGCCCTCACCCTCACTTTTCGCCCATACCCTCAACAAGAAAAATCATTTCGCTCATTTGTCCTTATACCAAAACTAATAATAACAAGTTAATCCTCACATATAATTTTCTGAATCAGACATACTATTTTGCTATTACTAAACTTTATAGGTACTTACCCTTTAGCCTTATATAATACGAAAAGATAAATATATTAGTAACTATTTATTGATATAAATAAGCTTTAGATGAGGTTACTTTTGTTATTACCTTAAAAACAGAATAGAAGAGGATTGTTCATTTTAGCAATTTGATACATCATCGTGCAATATGCCTCTTCGTCATTCCTCAAATGGTATTCGTTCGACGTCTTTACCACAGCAACCGATTCTATTTGATGGTCAAACTCTTACAACGATAGGTTCATCATCAAGTTAGCAAAAGAAAAATAAATACTCTTTTTTCCGTTTGTTTTTTTTTCTAAAATATATATATTTTTTTCTGTTGTGATACCTATTTATCTGTTCGAGTAACACTATAACATTTCCTGGTTTATTTAATCTGTTTTTTTTTCTTTCGTTTAATAACAGTGATTTTATCATAAAAAAAAAGAAAATAGCATAAGAACTTTGCATGTATCTATATCTCAGCAAGAACTCTAGATCTCATTTTTTTCAATGGCCATGACAACTGTACAAAAAGAATTAATGTATTCATCTCAGGATGATATTATATATGTTGATCAACAAATCAATTCATCTCTTAAATGTCCTCTTTGCTGTCGAATATTTCGAGATCCAATTGTTACACAATGTTCAGTAAGTTATTTTACTTTAATTTTATTTTTATTCATATTATTTATTTAGCATACATTCTGTCGAAGATGTATTTCTACAACAAGTAAATAGATCTATCGTATTGATTTAAAAATAACGTATATATATATATTTTAGTTCAATGTCCATATGATCAACAAATTCTTCAAACATTCGTTAGTAATCATAGTATTGCTGAACAAATTGATTCCTTACTTGTTTGGTGTAAATATTCATTTAAAAGATTCCAAGTAAATAGTGGTGATATCAAAAACGAACGTGATGAATATGGGTGCCCAGTAAAAATTCCATTGAATAAAAAAAAGTAAGTTACTTGCTATAAAAATCGATCTATCTTTTATTTTTCAATCTAGAGAACATGAAGATGAATGTACCTATCGTTTTGTTCCTTGTCCAAATGGTTGTCTACTTAATAATCTTCGTCAAAAAGTGAGTAATCATATTTATTCAATGTTAAAAAGCCTAGGTAATTTCGAAATAAAAGATTATTAGGATATTTATAATCATCTTCATACATGTCCAAATCGACAAATAAACCCATTAAATACGAATAATGAACAAATACAATCGCTTCAACAAGAATTTATTTCGAAAATGTCACAAATTGATTTTCTTGTTAATACTTGTAAACAATTAACCAATACAGTAGCGGTACTGAGAAATGAAATTGGTAAATAAAAGAGAAATATCCAAAATTTTGAATTTCTTGTTTCTTCTCCTTCAGATACACTCAAAACTAATCAAGAAGCTTTATGTTCACGAAATGATTTATTATTGGTAAATATTTCGTATTTTTTGTTTTTAAATAAATTATTTTCTTTAGAGTGAACTAATGAAAACGAAACAAACATCACCTATACCAACAACAATTGATGAACAAGAATCTGTACGAAATCACGGTAAATATTTCAACGAAAAATTTCATAAAAAATCTTTTTATATTAGATAGTGATGATGATAATGATCTACCAAGTGTTATTTTACGTTGTAATGGAACATTTACAGGACATAACGATGCTATTTGGTGTTTATATGCATTAGATGATGTACTTCTCAGTGGTTCTAGTGATAAAACAGTTAAAGTAAGAAAAGAAAAAAAAAGTATATAAAATTTTATAATTCAAAAAATAATCAAGGTTTGGAATTTACGAGAAACTCCGTATACAAATCTAGCAACATTACATGGTCATCAAGATGGTGTGTTATCCTTGACAGTTAAAGAACGAACAGCATTTACTGGTAGTGGTGATAAATCCATATTTGTAAAAATTCAATTATTTGAAAGGTTTTTTATTCGTGCATGTATTTTTTCTAGGTTTGGAATTTAGATGATTATAAAAAAACGACATCTTTTGTTGCGCATACAGGTATGAAGATAATTTTGATATTTCAAAAAAAGATAAATCTAGTTTAATATTTATAGATCCAATTTGTTCATTAACACAATATGATAATCATCTATATAGTTCGTCGAATAAATGTTTGAAAGTATGGGATATTCAAACATTAAAATTATTAAATGAAACTCAAACAGATAGTCGAAATGGTTGGTTAAGAATTTTAATGCAAAAAGATAAATGTATTTATGCTGGATGTCGACGTGTAATTAAAGTAAAGAACAAAAAATTTTTTTGGCACAAAAATTTAAATTATAAAATTTAGGTTTTTGATGCTGTTACACATCAAATATCATTCGATTTTGAATTACCAACAAATGATTCAATTTATAGTTTAGCACACTCAGATACATTACTTTTTGCTGGAGCATTTTCCGGTACAATATATGTAAGTAGGAAAAAAAAAGGTCAAGTTACGCCAGCTCAAAATATGAAGTTTTCGAGAAATTGTAGCTTGTAACTGTCTACTTTATTTTTGAGCATCACCAGGCGACTTTGCACAGTCCAGAGTATCTATTAAAGCAATCTAAAAGCTTTTGAGCTGAAGTTTTGCCCACAAGTAGGGGATACATAGACTAGAAAAAGCCTAAAAGGATACGTGCCCAAGTTGGTGTTTGACTGAGATATCGACTATTTATTGTATTTGTCCTATAGGACCGTATCTGTGTGGTTAAATCAAAGTTTCAAATTTAGGCCTGAAACTTTGCCCACAATAAGGCGTCAATCAGACAAGCTTGCTTTACAAAGTTTCTGAAAGACTGTATCCGAGATACAAGTATGTTGGCATAGAGACGCTTTCTTATAGTTATTAGATTTCACATGCATATTTTGACGGATTTATATCTCGCAGATAATCTGTGTAAAATTTCTGAAACTTTGTAAGCAAGCTTGTCTGATTGAGACCTTAGTGTCGACAAAGTTTCAGGCCTGAATTCAAAACTTCGGTTTTACCACACAGGACAGAGTTCCATAGGACAAATACAATAAAGAGTCGATATCTCAGTCAGACATCAACTTGAGCGCATATCTTTTTAGATTTTTTCTAGTCTATGTATCCCCTACTTGAGGGCAAAATTTTGGCTCAGAAGCTTTTTGATACCTCAGGAGGTTCCCTCGTTAGATATCCGTAAACTCCAAATTCGGAACTTGATCGAAAAAAATAATCAAATGTTAATGAACTTGTTTCGTTTTCTTTTATAGATATGGGATACTCGAGCTAATCGTTGTTTAGAAACAACATGTCAACATGATGCAACTGTACATGGTCTTTGCATGCAAACTGCTGATAATTCCAATAAATCAAATTTAATTAGTGCATCTAGTGATCAGACTATTCGAGTATGGGCTGTTGATACATTTGATCAAATCCAATATGATGATCGACATGAAGCTGAAGTGACAGCATTACATGCTAATAGTCGACATATTATGTCTGGTGCTGCAGATGCTAAAATAAAAGTATGATAAAATAACCAATAGATTTTCTTAATCGAATTTATTTATTTTAGGTTTGGGATTGTATTTCATCCTATGATCATTTTGAATAAATAAAAATTTTTATTGTTTGTTTTTATTTTTATTTAATATTGTTACAGATGTAGAAAATATCGATTAAATAGATTTGTAAATATTTTAGTGTTATATTTCTTGTTTTTTTTTTTCTTCCATAAATTTAAAGCATTGTTTTTAAATATTATTTATAGATGCAACATCTATATTTATCACCAGTTAGATCTAATCTATCGAAACGTTTAATAAATTCAATATTTTTTCGTTCGAAAAATTCCTCATCAATTTTACCAAAAGCAACACAAGATATAAAAGAAGCGGCTAAAGAACATGTACGAGAATTACGACGTGAATTTGATAAACCAATTAAATTCTCAACGAGTCGTGCGAAATATTGGGATACAGCTGATTCAATAGTTTTTAATCGTCATATTGGAAAATTTACACGACCAGTATTGATTGTCACTGTTTTAATGAATATGGTTAGTTTTTATTGAAAGAAAATAAAAAGATTTTTTTTATTTGTTGATTTTTAGTTCTACTGGGGTTATTATCGAGAAGAAAATGATATTGATGAAATGCTTGGTATGGAACCATGGCAAATATTTCCTCGACTTAATTTAGAATATCTTAAAACAGCTGAAAGACAATATCGTGAAGCTGGCCTTGATACAAGTCAAATTGAAGTTAAAAAGAAAATGATTCAAGATATTTTTCAACCACAATTAAATGAAGAAGTTCGAATTAAATACAAAAAATAGGAATATATTGTTTGTTAGTTTTTTTTGTAACTTGATTTATATAAATATATTTAAAGAAATATGTCATTATTCAGGTGCCAGACATGCTCATTGAAAGAATTACTAAAGTGTCATGACTTTTTCCGTGTATTATAAAATATTAAATTGAAACCTCCGCATTGACGTCATTCACTTTTTTATGATTATAAAAAATGAGAATAAATGACATCGAAATAAGTCTAATGTACTTAATGAAGAGATGAATTAACTACATTGTCTTTCATTATCATAATCCGATACAAAGTAGGAATTTGAATTTATTTCGAAAGAGTAGTCAATGACTGTTTTACATTAGATAAACATTACAAATATCAGCATTTCTCATAAATGAACATGATGGAAGAGGATTACAAATAGATTTACAATCAATATGTTTCAATTGTGTGTATAAGTCCAAAACCTGACAAGGATCTTTTAATGAAAATGAAGATCGATTCGTAGGTTTTTTTGTAGGTGAATTTGTATATGTTGAAACCCATGGTGG